AGCAGGAACATTGTTTTTAAAACTTGTTTCCTCTTCTTTACCCAGTGATTAAAACGATACATGTGAAAACCTCACCTGAACTGAAAACAAGTCAGCAGGTGACACCTCTGAACCTCCTCCACTGCTGGAATCAGTTTCTGATGGAGAGTCAGGCACCGGAGCTCCACGAAAGAAGATGCTGGAGTTAAAGGAAAAAGAGGAGGAGGAGAAGGAGGTGATCTGGTCACAGGGGAGGAAGCCTGGGTATGGAGACCTGAAGGTGGCTGTGATGTCCACAGGTGTGAGGTGAGACTCATTAGTGGGAGAGCAGTAGGAGGAGACAGGGAGGCTGAAGAGGAGGAGGAGAAAAGATTTTCATCAGTCAGATCCACAAATATGATCTAAGGGAGGAACAGTGTGTGTGCATGTATCTCACTGCTGCTGTGAACTGCACTCTAAGTCCAAGTTCTTCAGTTCCATGGTGCTCTGGTTCCTCAGTGGTGTTCCAAAGGTTCTGCTCCAGCTCAGTCAGAAAAAAAGTCCAATAAAAAAGGAGGAGCTAAAAAATAATAATGTTTAAAAAGACTGACTGGACGTAGCCTTGAAAGAAAGGTTGGATGAACTTGATGCTCTGTCTCATTTATCTGATCCCTGTCTCATAACATAGAGGAGGCGGGGACTGTTGGATCAGCCAATCATTGTGCAGCACCATTGGTCAGAACATGGGATTGACCTACTCTTCTTCCCCTGTCATCTGGATTGATTTAGACAGTGGCAGATGTAGGTCACAGCTTCGCTGACTGTGTTGATGATGATGATGATGATGGTGAGAAGGAGGAGGAGGATGAGTTTTCAGAGCTGAAAGTTTTTATCAAATACAGTTGTGTCTGAAGGTGTAGATTAAAGTTCTTTTAAAACTTCAGATGGAAATTGAATGATTGACAAAATGTCATTGAACAGTTTTTTCTTCTCAGAGCTGCAGCTGCTCTCAGCCACACAATGAACAAACACAGAAGTGGAAAAATGGAAAACCAGACACAGTGTTACCATGACAGTCTAATGTTGACCACTGTTTAACACTGTTCACTTTTTTATTATTGTAGTGGCACGCTGCACCTGTTTAACACTGTTCACTTTTTTATTACTATATTTGTAGTGGCACGCTGCACCACTGCACCACAACCACACCCACACCCAGTCATCCTGATCATTAGACTACCTGTCAAATTGTGTTTTGTTTTTTTAATAGAATTTAAGGATCTAAGTCCATCCATCCATCTTCATCTCCTTATCTGTTACCAGGTCGCTGGGGCAGCAGTCTCCATGACCGCCACCCAAATCACACTGCACCACACCGGCCCCTCTTGAAGGTACCAACCGCCGTAACCAGGATTCAATCTTGCCCAGGAGGTGGGTTCCACACCAAGGACAGAGACATTGCCTCTGGGCCAAAGTGCCACAAGAATCTAAGTATTTAGTCATTTGACTTTTTTTCCATTTGGGTCTTCACTAGTAATGACAACAAGAACAAAGACTGTTCTGTTCAGGTGTTGTTCTCAGGCGTGTTGTCAGTTCATCCGTTTTTTTTAGGCTAAACTGTTGGAGTTTTTCATATTTTAGAAGTTCTCTACACATATTAATACTTCACCCAGTAGAGCTGCCATCTACAGTAAGATAATCTGAGATAAACTCACTAAGTCTGGATTCATCACCTGACCCACATACCTGCATCAGAACTGGGTCGCTGACTCACAGTGGTGGAGCAGAGGCTGCTGGGTGATATGGTTGGGGAACAGCTTTATAATTGTTAAATAATATATATTTAAATACTTTAGAACCTCAGAGTGTTTATGCATGGATTCTGATTTACACGTTGGTCTTGATGAAAGTGAAGTAGTTCTGCTGGTTTGAGGAGGCCTGGACCAGTACCAGGTCCCTAAGGAGAATTAAACAATGCATTATTATTTTAATTTTATAGATAATTAATGTCAAAGATGATTTATTTTGAAATGAAAATTACCACAGTCTAGTTGATAATGATAATTTCAGTTAAAGTTAAAGTTCTCTGTCTTCTTGTCTTCTGTTTTTTTTTTTTATGAATTATTTGGAATCCTTCACTTCGTTGTTGCAGGAGCAGAGCCAGTGGTTAACATACAACACAATAGCCGTACTTAGGAGATATGTGCAAATTTATTTTCAGTTTCCATCTTGTAAACAACAATTTAAAAAAGGAGTACATGACAACAAAATTGCGCAGAAACTGTGTGTGTGCGCATCCATCCAAGAAGGTGGAGGCAGCTCATTACTACAAAATAAAGTTTAAACAAATACAACACATTTCATTTGTTTGGATTTACTTTGTTACTATTTACATAACATATACCAGCAAACTCACAAATGCATTATGGGTAGAAGAAAACATTAAACATTAAAAACCAAAAAGTAAAAATTAAATTGTGATGATTATTTAACGGTTTTTACATTACACACAGGTGTCAGAAGAGCAGAAATTCTATTCATTATATTCATTTCTATTCATATCTTTTTACATGGGTGGAGTCACAATGTTGATTAGTTTGTCTAGTAATCCAACTCAAATGGAACTCTACCTGTGTCTTTCTTCTGATATAAATACTGTATCAGAAGAAAAACGAGAGAACGAGCTTTAAACAACTGACATTAGTTGTTGCAACAGTCCTGTAGCTAACGTTAGGTTCAACAGTCCTGTAGCTAACGTTAGGTTCAACAGTCCTGTAGCTAACGTTAGGTTCAACAGTCCTGGTACAGACCATGTTCCAGGGTGTAACCACACCTGATTATTGCTAGGGTTGTCTGTGCTCCAGCAACTAAAAAGGTTGAAGTGGAAGATGAATGAATGATGAATGAATGATTCAGTACAATCATTACTTTAGAATGAGTGACAGGTCAATTTTAAAACAATGTTTGTGTCTGTCTTTTAAAGTTGGGGTCAGTGAGCTGTGGTTGCTGCAGTGTTAGATAGACAAGGGACGGAACACAGTGAACATGAACAACACAAGGTTTCACACACAGTAGGTACAGTAAGGATTTCTGTTTACAGCACATCGATCGTGACTGGAACCTTTGACCTGAAGTCTTTAGGCCTGAATAAAAAATCAGAGGACGTTGATTTGATTCTCTGATGTTCTGATCTTGGTTTAACTCACTGTCTTGTCTCCGACAGACCAGTGACAGTCTTCATGCTCAGTTCAGTGCAGTCTACTTTGTTTGTCCAGTACATGGTGGCCCAGTTCCATTTGTCTTTCCTCTTCTGATTCCTCTCTCCCTGAAGCGGTGTCACAGGGTTCTGTGGCAACAATCCATCTCTACAGAATTGAATTCTTTTCTATAAAAAAAACCTTAATCAGAAACATCATCAGTAAGAAAAGTGACACCTGAGTGATGTCAATACTAACTACAAACATCAATATTAACTTTTAATTATACATTTTTGATTTCTCTCATTTTGACCCATCAGAAAAACTGACATCACAGGAGCCCAAATACTGGGCCCTGGACCAACACCAGATCGTGGGTCATTTGGTACTAGCCCACGGAGAAAAAAGGAATAAGCATGATTTAGTTTTTCTTAAGAATCAGTGTGAGCTCTGATTTATTTTTATTAGATTTAATATTAATTATTAATCCTGTCTTTTTATTTTGTCATGTTTTTTGCTGCCTCTCGTCCACTGGTCTGTAAGGATATAGTCTGACCTGAGGTCACTGTTTGGTATGAAGGTTTTCCTGTGGTCTACAGCAGAATGTCAACAGGTTTGTAGAGATGAACATTGACTTTAGTTGACAGTTCCTTCTCTTGTTGTCTCATGTCAGTCTAAAACTCTTACCTTCTCCCTACACTTTAGAATGAAAGGAGACACTTTCCACCTGATTGTAGAAGACTTCTCCGGGTAAGTCTCAGGGACGGGGGTGAAATGGGACTGGGCCTGGATCCTGGTCGAGGATATTTAGTCAAATCTGAACCGAAGTGAAAAGCCACTGTATTCAGTCATCATCTAGTCCAGTCTCTAAATGTTAGGACCAGTTCAAACAGTTGTGATGGTTCAGTCTGGTCCAGTCTACGCTGCCACACAGTGGTTCAGTCTGCGGGACATGACGTATCCTCGCCTACAGATGCAGCGGAAAGAGCCGTCGGTGTTCACGCAGCGGGCGTTCACACACGGGAACTCCAACCTGACTCTGTCCTCACACTCGTTTATGTCTGCAAACACACGCACACACGGACATGTTAGTCACATTCCAAACAGCAGTTTGAAGTGATAGTAAAAGCTTCATCACACTGTGAGTCAGGGTCAACTCTGAGGTCAAAAGACAGCAGTTTACTTCTGACTGATTCTTCATACCTATGCAGGTCATAGAGGTCATGTCCAGTTCGTAGCCAGGATAGCAGTCACAGGTGTAACCTTCAGCAACACGGATACACCTGCCGTTCTCACAGCCGTGCAGTATCCCACAATCCTCTGCTGTGCTCAGACCTGCATAGACGGGTCCTGGAAGACGGGACAATACAGAGAGTTGTGTGATGGACATGTGTCAGGCTCCACCCACTGACTGATTGACTGATTTAAGTATCAACTGCAACTGCTCTGATGTCACATGTTAAACTGTGTAACATCAACTAGTGCTGAGGTTTCATGTCACATTTAAGTACCCTTCACATCACAACAGGTGACACAGAGGAGGACATGCTCCCCCCAAATAAGAAAAGCTGATTCTGGGAGCACTGACAACACAAGAGTTTCAGTGTAAACACACCTGGATCTAACCCACTGCACCTTTAAGACGTGTGTCCTACAGCCTGACCTTCTGAAAATCCCAAACCTGAACACTCACGTTCATACACTCTCCTTGGGGCTCCAACTCCTGCTCCTCCTCTGCTTCTTTCAGAGAAAGGAGGAAACAGTGGCCTCCATGTTTCCTCATCATCCTCCTCCTCCCTACTCCCCTCATATGGAGCCACAGGCAATGGTGCGAGGCTGAGAGGAGGACCATCAGGCCTCAGTGGTGGAAGAGGTTGGGCACCAAACCCTGCCTCACTACGGGGGTCAGGAGGGATGCGGAAAGATGGCGGTCTAGGTTGAGTACCATCAGGGGGGCTGTAGTCTCCCTCCGTGAAGAAGCCAGTGCTGGGGATCAACGGGTGAGTCAAGGTTAAGAGTTAAGGTGATGGTGTTCAGTGATGAGGGTGCATGACTGCTTTGTCTCACTTGTAATCAGGCTCAAGAAAGGCTCTGGCTGGAGGATTGCCCCCTGCTGGAGAGTAGTCTTCATAATCCGGAGCAGTGGGGAAGGAATCTGGAAAGAAGGGAGGGAAACGAGGAGGAGCTGAGGAGCAGCGCAGAAAGAGAAGTAGGAATAAGTGGAGTAAATGGGGATTAAAAAAATAAGAACAAATTGACAGGTCAGATCATACAGCTGGATCCTCGTCGACCCGGTCTCACTCCTGTATCTGTTTCTGAAGAATCTGGAAATCCAGGTGAGTGAGGAGGATGGTAGGAGCTGCACAGGTAGGCGTAGTCGCCTGAGAGGTGAAGGGGAAAAAGTGTTTTTTCAAATCTCATAAAATGAAACTGAACCACTGAGGAGCATTGATGTTTGTTGTCTTTAGTGAAGGGAGGTTGTATCCAATACATGGCTCTCCTGCCTGCTGTGGTCTGAGCCACATGTTTGTTTGGTTTTGTTTTCTTTGTTTGTTATTACCAGAGTCGGTGGCAGGACAGAGGGCACACTCCATCCCCCAGCCTTCACCATACAGACAGCAGCAGTCAGTGAAGGTGACCTGGGCTCCAATCAGTGGACTCTGACACATTAGGTCAGCTGACACATGCTGCCAGCACATGGACAGGTTCTCATCTGCAGAACACAAGAAGACGACTGTGAGCAGAGACGGACAGAAGTGAGTGGAAGACAAAGGTGAAGAAGGAGGATGGATGCCTTACCCACAGTCAGGTGGGAGGAGTTGACACAGTTCCTCTGGGTGTCGTCCAACACCAGTGGAGGTGGACAGCTGCAGTAATACGAGCCAACCGTGTTCACACAGGCTCCACCCACACAGGTCTCCTCCTCACACTCATCATGATCTGACAATGAAGAGGCAAATAATGAGATGTATGTATACATTTATAAAGTTAACATTATATAACAAATGTAAAATTCAAAATTCATAAATGTAATTAATGAGAAACAGCTCATTCAGTTGATTTGATATGAACTGGTTAACCTTGAAATTTGGAGTGTCAGCCCTGATCACCAAGCTGTCTGTGTGTGTGTGCGTGTGTGTGTGTGTGTGTCATACCAACACACTCCAGCAGGGTGCTGTTATAAACATAACCACTGGAGCAGTAGCAGTTGTATCCGGGGATGTTGTTGACACACACTCCATTCTTACACACCTCAGGATGGAAACGTTTACATTCGTCCACATCTGTCAGCGTCAGAGGAGAAGAAGAAAGTGAACTCCCTGTCATTGTGACACTGCACACCACCAAATGTGACCTCTGCATTTAACCCATCACCAAAGTGAACAGTGGGAGCAGTGAGTGGGGACGGAGCCATGCTCAGAGCACCTCAGTGGTAACTTGGCAGCTGGTGGACTCAAACCTGAAACCTTCTGGACCCAAGTCCGCTTCCTTAACCACTAATCCACCACTGCCCTAGATGTGTTATTGATAAGCCGTGTGTGTGTGTGTGTGTGTGTGTGTGTGTGTGTGCACCTCTGTAGCTGAAGGCTCCTGGTCCTGTAATAATGTATCCTCTCCCATTGGGACACAGTGACAGGAACTCAGCTGCAGACACAAGAGACACTGGTTGGTATTTAGTGAGTGAAAACCTGCAGTAACAACATGAACTCTTTTTTAAACTAACATTAAATCAGAATCATGAATACTAATGTGACTGGGCAACACGGTGGAGGAGTGGGTAGAACAAGCCTTTTAAGCTAAGTGGATGGTGTGAATGGTTGTTCATTCCTCCATGTGACTGGAGACCCCACCCTCATCAACACCCCGCTGACCTGTGACCCCTGGGTAGGATCAAATGGCTGGATATCAGTGAACCAACAGTGAGTGGACTCACCTGTGTCAGGTGACGGGCAGGTGTGGTACTGACAGCCCAGCCCCCAGGCCTCGCCCACAGTGCAGCAGCACTCCTGCTGGCTGGTGTTGGTGGCCAGCAGGTTGCAGGTTCCTCGCTCTGCCAGGTTATAGTAGCACTCCCTGAGTTCACCGGGACGAGCTGGAGGAAGTGGGGGGTGTTTAGGATCAAAACCAACCACACCAGTGTTGGAGGAGGAGGAGGAGGACGAAGAGGAGGATGTAGCAGATGAAGAGGGGTATCTGGGAGCCACATGTTCTGCAGGAGAAGAAGAAATCTTCATGAGTTGACTTCATTTATAAGGTATCTTGTACTGCCTGTGTGTGTGTGTGTGTGTGTGTGTCTGACCTGGTCGTGCAGTGCTGACACACCTCCTGGTGGTGGGCTCGAACTCTCCCTGGTCACATTCACACATGAAGGATCCTTCCACATTCTCACACCGGGCAGAGCCACACACACCCTGCAGCGACTCACACTCGTCCTCATCTAAGAGACAAAGACAGACAGGGACTGCTAGAAAAAGTGGTGGCTGCCAGAAGGGGGCGTTGTGTTGTTTATGTATTTAGGTGTTTCAAACTTGAACGTGAATTTAAACTCCTATTTGTTTGTTCCACAGTACAGTGACGTACCCACGCAGGACTTTCCATCAGGTGTGGAGGTGAAGCCCTGGTCACACACACACATGTACGTCCCGATCACGTTCTGACAGAAGGCGTGGTCACCACACACTGTCTTGTTGACACACTCGTTGATGTCTAAGAGTGAGGAGATGCTTCTGCTCATTTTTAAAGTCAAATTAAAACTGTATTAACTAAAGGTACTTGAACTCACCAGCACAACTTCCTGTCTCTGTGGCCTGGTATCCAGGCTCACAGGAAGTGAGGCAGCGGTAGGACCCAATGGTGTTTTCACAACGCTGTGACCCACAGACTGACCCATGAGACTGGACGCACTCATCGACATCTGGACAGGAGTCAGATTATTACCATGAATCCCAGCAGGGCTTTTCTTGATGTAAGGCAAGAGCACTCACCACCTCACCACCTCACCACCTCGCGGCCACGACTAATTAGTTTTTACATAAATCTTTTATTTCAATGTAAAAAGTACTTCACAACATTTTGTTGAAGAAGTACTGTACTGAATTGAACATCAATTGAGGTAAGGTGTGTGTGTGTGTGTGTGTGTGTGTACCGAGGCAGGTGGTCTTCTCAGGGTTGGCGGTGAAGCCAGACTGACAGTCACAGTGGAAAGATCCAGGTGTATTCACGCAGCGTCCGTCCAAACACACACGCAACTTTGAGCATTCATCTACATCTAAAATGAGAGAGTGAGAGTGAGAGACAGAGAGGGGGGAGGGCCATTACATGTAACACACACACACACTCATCAAGCAGGCCAAACATGACATCAGAATTACATCATCTCCTGAAGTAGAACCAGCCGTGAACAGTGAGCTCAGTGTGTTTCTGACTGAGTGTCGCTGATGTTTATGGCTCTGCAGAGTAAAACTGCTGTAACTACAACACAACCACACAACTGTCAACCAAGTAGCTGTTGCTACTGCATACAAACACACGCACTCACACAAAACATTAATATTTGTTCTGGTTCTGACTGCAGAATATATGAACTGAGTCAGAGCCAGAGAACAGTTCTCCAAACAGAACTCCAGCCAGTGTGAGTCACTGCTCCATCACTGGACTGAGGGAGATGTGGACCAAATACCTGTGTGTACCGGTCCCACCAGTCTGATCAAAACTAGACCCAGCAGCTCAAACCTACACTATTCAGATCAGTGAATGAAGTAGTACTACAACTTGTACTTTTAGACATTACTGAGACTACACACACACAGACTGGCTCACTGTTGTCCACTCCTGTCTTTCCCATTGATTCTCCCGTTGACTGTGTCAGTGTGGAGACAACCTCTTTAAACAACCTCTATTGTTGGCTGAAGCAGTTTGAAATAACATCTGAGTCCCCATGTACCACCAGAGGGAGCCCAAGTACAGCCAGTGGTTTGTGTGCTGTAAGTTAAGGACCACTGATTTAGACACACTCTGGGGCAGGGGTGGCCAAGCAGCAGCAGCAGCAGCAGCAGCAGCAGCAGCAGCACACATCTGAAACATTTAATCAACTGATCTCAGTCTTCAGACACCTGATTGGTCAAACTGTGTGCTCTTGGTTGGTTGGAACAACAACCTGCAGCCACACGGCCCTTTGAGGAGTAGTTTGTAGTTACCTGCTCTAAAGGTGCCTGTCAATAATTAGTCAGGAAACATAAGTGGAGTAAAGTTAGCGACACAGAGAGGCTTGTGTTAGCTCTGAGGACACACTACAGAAGACACAGGAAGTAGGGGGGACATCATTACTACGTGTCGTCATCGTGAATGTTCCTCTGTAATGACAGTACACTCACCCAGGCACGACGTCCTGTTGTCGTTCAGTGTGAATCCCTGAGAACACACACACGTGTAAGATCCAGGTGTGTTCACGCACTCACCGCCAGAGAAACAGAAATCCCCCTCTAGGCACTCGTTAACAACAAAGGACAACACACACACACACACACACACAGAATAAATCACTGACTGTAAACTGGAGTGAAGCCCAGAGCCTCACACTCTTCACCTCAATATGTGTAGAACACTAACCTCTACATTTTCTCCCCAGACCTGTGCTCCGATACCCAGGTGGACAGTCACACCTGTAGGAGCCGATGGTGTTTACACACACTCCCTCAGCCTCACACACACCGGGGGTGTTGCATTCGTCTACATCTGTGCGTAGATCAGAAGAGGAGATTCACTTTACTAATCACCTTATTTAATCAATGTACTACTGAATGTGTATGTGTGTGTTGTGTGTGTGTGTGTCACCTTGGCAGGAGCTGGAACCGGCTCTGACGCTGTATCCAGGCTGACAGGACACACAGTGGTACGACCCCACTGTGTTCACACACCGCTGACCAGGACACTGTGAGTGCTGCACACACTCGTCTACATCTACACACACACACACACACACACACAAATGACAGGTGTCATTAGTTCTGTTAGGGTAGCAGGCTGTGAATGAATGTGTTTCTTATATGTGTGGTATGGCTGGACCAGAACTTTGAACCCAGTTCTCATCGTTTTTGAACGTGCTGCTGAATGTGTGTGTGTGTGTGTGTGTGTGTGTGTGTGTGTGTGTCCAGACCTGTACAGACTCCATTCACTATGTGATATCCCTGCTGACAGTCCACACAGCTGTAGGATCCTTCAGTGTTCACACACTTCTGACCAGGACACGACCCACTGTCCTCACACTCATTCACATCTGCAAACAGGGAGACAGAGAGGTGTGTGTGTGTGTGTGTGTGTGTGTGTGTGTTTCAGGGGGGCGGAGGGGAGTATTTATTATTCTGTATTATTCAGTGTGACTGGTTACCTGTACACTGTCTGTTCCTCAGTTTATATCCTGGTCGACAGGAAACACATCTGTATGAACCCACAGAGTTCACACACATCTGACCAGGACACTGGGACGGTTCTCTACACTCATCAATGTCTGACACACACACACACACACACACACACACATAACATTAGTTTTGACCTGCATCAGTACTTTAGTGGATGCGTCATGGTGACCTGTGACCTGTGTGTACCTGTGTGTACCTGTGTGTACCTGTATGTACCTGTGTGTACCTGTGTGTACATGTATGTACCTGTGTGTACCTGTGTGTACATGTATGTACCTGTGTGTACCTGTGTGTACCTCTGTGTACCTGTGTGTACCTGTGTGTACCTCTGTGTACCTGTGTGTACCTGTGTGTACCTGTATGTACCTGTGTGTACCTGTGTGTACCTCTGTGTACCTGTGTGTACCTGTGTGTACATGTATGTACCTGTGTGTACCTGTGTGTACATGTATGTACCTGTGTGTACCTGTGTGTACCTCTGTGTACCTGTGTGTACCTGTGTGTATGACAGAACTACTGAATGATGTCACTGCTGTTACCTGTGCAGGTGTTGTTCTGGAGCCTGTAACCATGGTGACACACACAGCGGTAGCTTCCAGGTGTGTTTTCACAATGACTATTGGAACAGGGAGCCTGACGACACTCGTCTACGTCTGCGATAAAATATTTGTTTGATAAACATGACTTTGTCGCCACTGCTCTGTTTCCTGAAATGAATGTTGGTTGGTAATAATACCAGCACGCGCACACACACACACAGACACGTTGTTACCTGTGCAGCGTCTGTTGGTGAGTGTGTATCCAGGCTGACATGACCTGCACCTGTATGACCCCTGACTGTTGATACACTCCTGACCTGGACACTGCAGGGGGTCAACACACTCATCCACATCTGAAACACACACACACAGATTACACCAACGAGAATATTTCATTCCATAGATATTAACTGTAAGTGTAGTGTAGAAATACTGCGGTCAGATGTTGACCTGTGCAGGTGCTGCCGACCAGCTGGTAACCAGGGCGACAGAGGCACCTGTAGCTGCCGGCTGTGTTTTCACATCGACCATTCCTGCAGGGTGTCAGCTCACACTCGTCCACGTCTGCAGAGGCACAGAATCAGGTACACACACACACACACACACACACACACAGGGAGAAGAGTGGATCACACAGCTGGTCCTGTTGTTTTACTACCACACACAACAACGTCACAACAGTTTAAGTCGTCTGTCACCTTGACAACTGGTCTGCTGGCTGTTGCTCCTGTATCCAGCCGGACACACACACCTGTAGCTTCCAATGGTGTTGGCACATTCTCCCACTGAACACACACTGGGAGACTGTGCACACTCATTCACATCTACCATCACACACAGTCACACACAGACGTAATAAAACGTGTGTATTATGAACCCATAATCTGTGTACAAGTGTTGGTGTGTGTGTGTTCACCTTGGCAGGATGTGCGTTGTGTGTTGGGCTTGAATCCTTGGTCACACACACAGGTGTGTTTACCATCTGCCTGATCCACACAACGGCCACGACCACACACACCAGGTCGGCTGTCACACACACTTTGCCTTGCTGCAGGGACACACACACAATTTCCTCTTTAAAGGGGTGTTAAATGGAAATGAATGTTTACTACTAAATCCTAAAGATGGATATGTGTGTGTGTGTGTGTGTGTGCTAACTCTGGAGCCTGGTAGGTCTGGTTGTTGGGCTCAGAGCCGGTCTGTTGGGCAGAGGTCGCAGCTCTTCACTCAGTCTGGACCCGGGGTCATGCCTGTGTGGCTGAGCTGGAGCAGGCAGAGAGTCTCCTCTGGCTGAAGGAGGAACCGGCTGAGACACAGATGAGGTTCCACCTCCTGTTCCAAACAAAGAGCACAACCATCGCACAGAATTCTCGGGGATCTCATTTTGAACCCCTTGTTGAACTGCTAGGATCCTAACACTGCTTGGTACCTTGGGCTCTAGTGGGCGGAGACTGTGGCCTCAGGTGTGTTGTGGAAGATGGCACTGACACTGGTTGGTTCTGCTGAGACCCTGTTCTGCCTGGAGTTGGAGATTTGTCCTGAGTTCTTGTTCCTGACCTGTTGGAGGGAAAGCTGGTGGGTGGATTGATGTGAGGAGCCAAAGGGGGACGCAGCTGAGACTGGGCTGGACCTGGCCTGGTCTGGGTTCCACTGGTACCAACTGATCCTGAGCTGGTGCTGCCAGCTGTGTTACTTAATCCATCTACAATCCCTCCAGAGGAAGAGGGGGGCTGCTTGGGTCTGGAGGCTCCTCCCTCTGTGAATCCAGGAGATTCTATAGAAATACATGAAAGTTCACTGAGTCAACACCAGGGGGCAACTTTTGAGACAGTGGTGGTCTGAGTGGACATTAGAGACAGAGGAGACAGTAGTGGATCAAGTGTCAACCGTCATATGAAGGACAGATGATAGGTTCACATCTCTAGCTTCATCATCATCATCATCATCACCAGCCACATCACACAGTGTTGTCTGTATCTACCCTGGCCGTCCTGGTTGTTTGGGGTCAACAATGATGCTCCTCGATTCCCCAGCTGTTCGTTCGCCCTCTGGTTAAACTGCAGTGCAGAGAGTGAGTAATGGTACCCAGGACCAGCTGGACAGATCTCCTTAAAGGCCACTGGAGGACAAAACAACAGGTGAAGAAAAGAGACAGTAGATACGGGACAAGGTTGTTGAAATCCAGTGTGAAAAAAGGGAACTTCGCCTGACCCCCCAGAACCAACGTCAGGTCTATACGTCATTCATCGTCATGTGACCAACCTGAGCCAAAGTACGGACACCTCTGACAGTCAGTGCCCCAGGCTTTGCCCACTCGACTGCAGCAGCATATTTGTTTGGTGATGTTCCTAAGGATTGGCAAAGAGCAGGAGTTGGGACCCTGACCGGACCCCAGGACACGGTGGCACTGACCCTTCTCCTCTGATATCACAGTCTGGGCTGGTAGAGGACACACACAGAGGGACAGAACAGGAGTTCAGACAAATGCTGTTGGCAGTCTGGGATTTTAGTGGTGTGCAGCGTCACATGCAGCGTCAGCAGCACATGCTGTTCGCAGGTCCATTCACTGACAGACATTCAAAGACAACAGCCTCAGTGGAAACTCAAGCAGGTGCAGAATGGACAGCAGTCTGACAGCTTTGACACACGTCTGTGAAACAGACAAAGTCAAGGGACAAACAAACTTAAATTCTTTTTTAGGGTTTTTTTGGTTGTTTTCAGTTGATCTACTACGACAAAAACGATGTTGGTGGATGATCCTAATATGGAAAAACATCAACCCACATGTTTCATTGGCTGAAACACTGGTCGTTGTGAGTGAGGTTTTAAATAAATGACTGATGATGTCATCTGCATACACATACAGCCTTTATATTGTGAAGCAGGATGATCAATCATTCATGTAGACGCTGAGGAGAGGTGATATGACCTCTGAGACAGAAACGTCGCTCCTTCACTGGAGCTGTTGGTTTCCTCTGATGTTGCTGTTATTTGCAGCATGTGAATGAATGTCAGTTGTGTTTTCATACAACACTGGTCAACACTACTGATCCAGACGTCACTAATGCCATATGTTATGTAATAAAAAAAAGCATGTGAGTTCAGTGGTGACTCACAGCTCAGTGGTTCTGTTGGTGTCACAGTGGACACTTCAGGAGTTGTGCTGTAAACCAACAGAAAAGCAGAGGGGAATCTGCTCTGCAGTGATACAGGATATTTTAAAGCCTCCAGCTGTGGGCAATTTCACGGCTTTAGTTTCCAAAGAAATCTTCTCTCCTCGTGATGCAAACATCACGTTACATGTCTGTTTTGGTTTAACGCTGGTTTGGTGTTTTGCACATTAATTCAAACCTGGCATTCAGGTGCTTTGTTTTGTTGTTTTCCCTCAAACAACATGAGATGAAGGCAGAGGAGAAACAGACAGACAGCAGCTGATGACAAACAAAAAAATAGTTGAAAACCACATGTTGAACCAGGACGTCCTGGACAAACAAAGGGCTTTTATGAAACAATGAGGACATTCAAAAAAACACAGCACTGCTTTCATGCCTTACAGCAGTGGTTCCAACACTGTTTTTCTGTAGCGCCCTCCCCTCCCCTTCCCTCCCTTCCCCCATGTGAACACTTTCACAGCTTTTAATTTAAATTCTCACTAAACTTTATTTTAAATACAAAACTGCTTTTCTCATTGCAAAACATAAATACAATTGCAACTATCCAACAACTGCACCAGAAAATATTGAAATTGAACCTGATTTGCCAGGTCCCCCACCCACACTGAAACAGGTCTTTGGCCCTTACTGGGGCCTGCCCCCCACTTTGGGACTCCCCCCTTTCCAGGATAACCTGTTGAGTTGTCCAAATTGAGTTAAAGTTTCTTGAACCTGAACACACAATCATCAAAGGCACACGAGGCAGAGACAAACAACAAGCGTCAGGCTGTGATTAATGGCTGATTTGATGACCCAGCATCCAGGCTGCAGCAGACACCACACACCTCCACCTTCTCAGTGATGCCGGTCAGAATAAGCAGACTCCCTTCAGACTTCACACAGACCATCTGAGCATCTACTGTAGATGCAGTGAAACTCAGCAGAACCAAGGGCTCTGTGGGCTGTAACTCAAACAGCGACCAGTAGAGGGAGTTTTGAGGTGAGCCACCTTCTGGAACCATCTGAGCTCAGATGGATTCAGGAAGTTCTGACCTGGAGTCTGCGTTATTCCTCAGTACTGGAGAGTGAGTTTGTGTGTGTGTGTGTGTGTTACTTACAAATGCAGATTCCGTGTGAGGCATCGAGGATGAACCCCGCCTTACACACACAGCTATAGCTCCCCCTGGTGTTCACACAGATCCCGTTCTCACACAGCCCCGGCTGGAGGCACTCATTCACATCTACACACACACATACACACATTTTGTGCAACATGCATGATGCACACACACACACAGGTTACTTAAGAAAAACTGAATATGACTGGAATATCTGAGTGACATTTGGACTGCAGCTGTACTGCAGGTACTGCATTATACTCAGAGTACTGTGGACAAAGTAAAGTAGTACACAATAAATGTATGTGTGTCATGTGACTTGGTGATTAAACCACTAATGATGATCACAACTGATATCTTACCATCAAAAATCACACAATATATGTATATAGGTATGTGTGTGTGTGTGTTCACACGCACCAACACACTGTGTTCCGTTGCTTCGCTCAAACCCAGAGAGACAACTGCTGTTGCTTCGACCTGAGAATAATTAACGGGAGTGACGATTAAAGACTATCAAACACAGGTGACGATCCCTCCTCACTCACCAGCATCTTCATCATCTTCATCATCTTCAAACACAAAAGCCTCAGCTTCCAAATAGTCACTTATTAATGTTTGTCTCAACAGATTCAGGGTTACCTCTGAGCTCCGTTTGGTTTGTCCTGGTTGGTAACTGTGTGTTTTAGTGTTTTTCACCATTAGAAAGTGGAGCAGGAAGAAGGATTTACAGCGTCTTTCACTTGGTTTGTTAAGTCGTTAAATCATTACTGTTGTAGCATTTAAGACCGTCTTTAACCTTTGGTTTCACTACAGCGCTGTCTGATGATGAATGTCAGTGAGTGAGGTAACACTGTGTCTGTGAAAAGGTCTCATTCAGCCTGAATTCCTTGTGTCTTAGTCAGACTTCCAACACATCTGCAGGAGAATTATTATTCTGTGTGTGTGTGTGTGTGTGTGTGTGTGTGTGTGTGTGCGTTACCTGTATTTTCAGGACAGCGGACACAGTCAGTGATCCCCCAGCCCTTTCCAAGGCCTCTGCAGCACATTTCTTTGCTCCTCAGTCCAGGTAATGGAGAACTACACTGCACACACACACACACACACACACACACACACACAGGAGGTGATGTGACAATAGCCATCGCCAACAACTTGTTATTCCTTCAGTTTTCTTTGCAGCTAACACTGAAAGCCTGACATGTTTATGAACAGTTCAGTTGGACCACACATGGAACCCTCAGTGTGAGAGAACATTGACCTAATTCACAATCTTTTTGGACTGGAGTAGAAACTACAGAACTTGGAGACCCCGCCCCATGATGCTGATATTTGTGCTTTAAGTCCTGACCACTGGAGGGCATTGTTTGCATTCACTGTTGTAGCAGTGACTGTTCCCTGTGGTGTCTCACCTGTCCGTCTTTGACCTCTCTGAAGCAGTACTTGAATCCAGAGTGCTCTGTGTACGTGCCGTCACCCCTCACTGTCTGAGCCTGAACACCCACACCAGGTGGCGCTGGAGCCCCTGCTGATCCAGAAGATGGGGAGAAGGAGAGTGTCTGCAGGGGAGGACTGCGTCCAGACACCTGGACAGATGTGGACAAACCCAAAGGTCAATATACCTCTGTCCAATTAGACCATACATGTGATTACACCGAGTCCTACTTTCTTTATGCATGTGAATGAGGAAAACACGACCTAATGTTCTCACCTTTACCACCTGGTGGATCTTCACACTGGCCTCAGGGGGGTGCTGCACTCTGACCTTCACCATGGAAGGACTAGGAGCTGCACACACACACAGACACACAACAGAATCTTTCTTTAAACCAGTGGTTCACAAAATTGTTTCTGACAATTGTATCATCTTAGACTGTGCCCACCCCTGCATAAAACTCCTCCAACTATATTGTACACATTGTAATTTCTAATAAAACATAATTGAACAAAAGACTTTGACAATCACTACATTCAATCGTGAACATTTTCTAAATATGTCAAATGTGATTTCACCTTCTCTAATTGCAGACCTAAAAAGCACCAGTGCCACTCACCCCCTGGCTGCCCCACCTCCTGGTTCTGACCCAGGGGCAGGAGAAACTCTGTCTGAGTCACTTCCTGATTGGCTGCAGAGGAGGCGAGAACCACAGGCTTGAAGATCTCATTGGATGAGGCTGGTGGAGCAACAGCTGGCCTGGCCGAGGCCGAGGCTGGGGCAACTGGGATCTGACAGAACTTTCCGGTGAAGTTGGGGGGGCAGAGGCAGCGGTCCTTCTGCAGGCAAACACCGCCGTTCTTACAGAGCAGAGGGCAGAGGACTGCAGGAGACACACACACACGCACAGAAAGACCATCCAGTTAGAGCAGGGGATCAAACCATTGACCTTCTTGCTGTAAGGTAATAGCAGAAATCAACCCTTTCTTTCATAGTGTGGTTCATCACAAGGCTGTAAATGAAGCCTTCGGTCCTTAGCTTGTGTCTGACCAACATCAAAAGTCCGTGTCTGGAGTGACCTTTGACCTCTGAGTGCTAACAGTCCATCATGTCTGTGGTGAAAGTGAATCTGGTGCCGACAGAACCAGCCAGCCACCTCCTACTTCCTGTTTGAGCTGGACACAACAGGATGTTGTGTATTGTTACCCAGAATTCAGCTAATGGTCCAGCCAGAGGTCTGAGCAGCAGGAAGGAAAGCTGCAGCTGTGACACTTCACACACTACACTCTGCTTATTATTTACTGCATGATGTGTGTTAACACCATGTCTGTTTATATCAATCTACAGGCATGTGTGTGTGTGTGTGTGTGTGTGTGTGTGTGAGTGAGCAATAATTCACCCTTGGATTTTATGAGTGCAGCATTAACCGAGTGCAGTGACAGCAGCTGTGAAGCCTCTGCTGTTCATATTGTTTATGATGTTGTTAAAGTAAAAGTCTTTCTTCAGTGTGAACCCACAGACTGGTGCAGCGCCACCATCCTGACACCTCAGTCACCTCCACACCTGTGTCTGGAAACAATACTAGATCTGAAGCCATCTGAGTTTTTTGTTTTCCTGAAAAACACGGGTCTGTTTGTTTGTGTGTGTGTGTGTGAGAGAGAGTCAGTGAGAGAGTCAGTGAGAGAGAGCGAGAGATGTTTTGTTTAATAAGCATTTCTGCAGACACAGATGTTGCAGATGTGCTTCAGGGTGTAAACACTGAGACCTGGTTATAACTGTGGACATCACTGTGCAGATGAATCAGTCACTGAGTCAGTTTTAAAGGCTGCAACTGAGGCAGAACAAGAAAACAGCAGACTCTGACTCTTTGTCAGTACCATGGTAGATGGTGGTATGATGACAGAGATGGGCAAAAGATGGATGGATGGATGGATGGATAGAGAGAGGGGTGATCTCTGGTGATTCCAGGTGAAACTAACGACAGTGTAAACATCCTTCAAACATGATGCTGTCAGAGAAAACACGAGCCCCAGTAACAGACCAGGTGAGGATTAAAAAAAAAAACAGAACAGATCAAAGCCCGGTTCTGTCAGTGTGGTCCAGCGTTTGTCCAGCCTGAGGACAGTTCAGAGCTCTGCTGCCAGCAGAAATGATTTAACCAGCACTGACCTGGAATCAGTTCAGGCTTCACAACTATTCACTGGCTTCGACTCTGACTCCAGACTCTGCCAACGTTGGAGGAGCGGCAGGATACATGACGCAGCTGGAGCAGCTTCACACATTTCACATGTATTTAAGGTGAAACATTTTTACAGAAGTCTTCAGATGTTTCACGTGGTCAGATGTTTTCATAGGTTGTTTTCAGCCCTGTCCATTTTTCATCCACAGACTCAGTGACGATCTGAATTGATACTAAAATCTCCTGGAGGGAGCTCAGAGCAGCGCATCACCTCAGAACCAGTGCCACTCAGTAAAGGAAGACGCTGATGCTATGTTGTTTAGCTTCAGAAACAAAAGGCTTTTTCAAGAAGACACACACCTGAGTAGAACCAGTCGTGACATCATTCCAGGACCGGCAGGTATTTGAAACAAACCTCACTTTTCAAGTATGTAGATCTACAGTCACAGTCATTCAAAAGTGTTTTTTATGATTTGTGATCAATTCAACTTCCAGAGGTTTTTCTAATTGTGTCTTGTCTAACTGTTGTCTAAGACAATGCATTAACAAACAGAAAACCTTCAGCCTGAGCTTCTGTGAGGAGCTGCTCTGTTTGTTGTTCCCTGAACTTGTCAGTTCATGAAGACAAATCTGAACAAACAACAAAATCACAGAATCAAATTAAAGCAGCAGCGAATCAAAAACTCCTGGGACGTCAGTGGATGCCTTTGGTTTAGGGGCTGTTTCTCATTTCTCCACTGAGCCTCAGTTTCACCATCATCTCAGCCTAGGGGGCGCTGGCTCTGCCTATGTATGACATAAAAAACCCTAAAACATCTAAGCTTCCTTGACAAGGTGAAGGTCGGACTTACAGACTCTGAAGCCTGGTCCATGTGAACCGTCTCTCCTTCCTCTTGCATCGTCTCCTCCTCCTTCAGCGTCGCTGCTGTACAGCGTGGTCACGTTGCCTCGTTCGCAGTAGTTGACACAGCGGCCCTGGTTGCAGCGCACCTTGCAGATAGTGGGTGTGAACATCACCTGTATGGTCTCCACCCCTCCTCCTCCTCCACCATGTCCTCCTCCTGTAGCCGTCTGTCCATCAGCTGGGTGAGGAGACATGAAAGTAAGGAGGACAGAAACAAAAGTGAAGAGTGGAAGCTGCAGCATGTCGACGGTTGAAGTTGGAGTCACTGAGTGTAGTGCATCGTCCAAGCCTCGCCCTCTAAATCCACCCTAAGTCTACCTCACTCGCCCACCCTGCCACCTCCTCCCCTCTCCAACTTTCTCTCTCTCTCTGGGGTCGAGTGAAAACGAGAGTAGCAGGAAAAAAGGAAGTAAGAAGAAGAAAACGAGGGGCTGCTTCCCCGAGCTCTACGTCTACTCTGTTTCTCCTCCTCTCTCTCTCTCTCACTCTCTCACTCTCTCTTACTCTCTCTCTCTCACTGAGGACTGATGGACGAGATCCCTGCTAAACATTTAGTTTGGAGCTCAGCCCAGTCCTGCACACTGCTTTCAATTACCTCTGCACCTCTCCGCCCCCTTCCCCTGCTTCCTCCTCCTCCCCCACTCCTTCACATTTTCTCTTTTTTAAATTTTGTAAAAATGAAAAAGGAAGATTGCTTTTTCAGGACAGGCTCCAGGACGAGGTCACCGAGTTTAATAAAGTAATGCTCCTCCTCTCTATGATGACGATGATGATGATGACGATGATGCAGCTGATGCAACTGGTGTCGAGCTAAAAGTGGCAGCAAATTAATAATCATCTTGGACTGTGTGTGTGAATTTCAAGAATGTTCAAAACACACACACACACACACACTAACCAGTGGCCTGTCTTAACATTGAACATACTCCGCAAATATCTACTAACCTTCACTCTTACCTTGACCTTAATCTAACTATAATCCTAATCCCTAACCTCAGTCTCAGCCTTAGATTGGTTTCTAATTATTGTTTGTTTTATGTTCTACTATAACCAAAAACACACACACGCACACAGGACAAATCCAAACTGTCCTTGAACATGTGGAATTACTATGGCCATCAGTTGATTATAATAATGTAATCCCAAATTATAATTACTTGTACTCAAAAACGTGCTGATCCACGACGGCTGCCAGCTGCTCCGATAAGTCAGTGAAGAAACAGTTCTTCTTCAGTCTTTTCAATGGAAATGCCCTGTTATTAAAACGGACTTGGTTGAGATCACACACACACACACACACACACTGTACATCACCTTATCACCTACAGAGCTGTGCCAATACGAAAGTGCCTTTAAATCATTGCATATTGACTGAAACCCTAAAGAGGCAGTGTACTTGGCACATGTTGACTGTATGGTACATCATAATAGATCTTTTCTGAGATCCACCCATCAAAAACAGGTATCAAGCAAACACTTGACCCTTGTCTGTTTCTGCCCTCTACAGGTCAATGCTGCATCACTTCACTGCTGCCTGTTTCCCCTGATCAATGTGTCGGCCGAGGGTCAATTCACAGAAGGTGTATGTGTCATTCACACATCAACAGGGTATGTTGTTGGAACATCATTTGTGTTAACTCCTTATTAATGTGTTAAGATTTGCAGACCTCTAAAAAATCCCTAAAGATTAAGTTGGTAAAATGAGGGACTCATTTATCACAGATTCACTGAAATAAACTAAACTTTTCATGAGAAAACGACAGCTGATGTTCTGTTATGATCTCATGAATGAAGAGAGAAGTGTCAGAGCTTCACTGTGGCACTGTAAGAAATCTGCACATCCAGATCCTTCTCTATGGGGTCGTAAAGTCCAGGTCCACGGATGCTTATAATGAAATCAAGAGACAGTGATCACTTATGGAGGTGTGAGTCACCCTGAATCTAAGAGCGTGAGATTATTTCTGTGAGGAAATAAACTACTACTCCCCCCTGCGCCCCCCGCTGAACACAGATTTTGAATTTCTCCATTGTATCATGGAGTGAATGGACCCCAGGGTTGGACTTAATGCAAAACAGCAGTAAATTGACTCTCAACAATGAGCTGAGTTTATTCTCAGATACGACAACATGGCACAAGCAAACGCAGGACAGGAGAAAAACATCAACACTCAGGACTGAGCTGCGTGTTTCCAGGGAGGAGACCCTCACCAAAGGTCAAGTAAGGAATACAGTCCCCCACCCCCATTCATCTCCCCCCACCCAGACATACACACAAACACTACCTCGTGTGTTTCGTGAACACTTAACATAGACATAATTCATCCTCAAGCCCAAAGGTTCCCAACCACTGGGCTGTGGACCAGTAACTGGCCATGGGTGATTTGGTGCTGGGCCAACAATGAAAATGTTTTAATCTTTTAAAATTGAGGCTGGCCTGCCTGGTATTTTATTTTGAAAAAGAATCACTTCTTCCTCTCCTTGACAAACGCTAAAAAGTGCACAATATAAAATAATAACTATATTTACATTAGACAATTATTAATCACATCATACATAATACACTTGTTTGTGTTTGGTTATGGACCTGACTTCCCTTCACACACACACACACACACACACACACACACACCGCTGCTGCTAAAGTACCTTAACTTTTACCAGTACATGTCAAATCCTAATCCTTACTCTATCCCTAATCTGACTCAATCCTGATCCTAACTCCAAACTAGATCTTCAACTCCCTCAACATTGGAGGACTGACTAATGTCCCCACAAGGACAAAGTGTCCTCACAAGTGGAACCATACCAGACACACACACACACACAGAATAAATAAAGAGAGAGGCCAAACAACAATAAACAGCAGCCGTGGAGCAGAGTAGAAACATGGTCAACACACTCTTACAACAGTACGTGCCAGGACTGATGCAACATGAATCCAAATCTAATCTAATTCTCAGATGATCCACGGCTCATAAAGTGAAGTGATCCACACAGAGTCGGACCAGCGCCCTCTGTTTGACACATACAAAAATAAAACTGTAAAACGTCAGTGTCTGTCAGTCAATAATCAAACACTACAAATATGAATATTTAAGGCCAGTGGACACTTTTCTACTTCAAAACTTCCCTTCTAATAAAAAAAAAACAGAAACATATTTTCAACAACTGGGTCTGGTGACCCAGGCTGAAACCAGGCTATCTTCTTTTTCTCTACGTTTCCTTTAAATATTTCAAACAGATAAAGGCGACAACGGGAGACGAGAGTAAATGTAGAGGCCTACACTTCTGATCAATGCTGTAAGTATAAACATTCATCATGAGAAAGAAGACCTTAAGTTAAAGGATTCTTTTTTTATTACTACCTTAGAAAACTCAAAGACATAGATTCTAGTATGAAGCTTCACTGAGCCACAGGAATGTATTTTTGAGGACAAAAACATCAGTCACATCATATACAGTAGGTGGGTTTAAGGGTCAGGGGTCAGGGGTCAGGGGTCAGTCCTAAACCACTGATGTTGTGAAACGTGCAGCCAACTATAGTTGACATACGTGGGTCTATTTCCCTGTTTGGGGGGTGTTAAGAAATACGCCCCACCCCCCACGATCTGTGGACTTTTATAGATGTTCAGAACTTGTGACATCAGAACATCTATAAAATGTCATCTGATAGGACAGTCCAGTTTGATGACGTCTTTATAATCTTTGTTATTATTCATCAAACAACAGTGAACGTCAGACACAGAACTGCAGCAGGACTGCAGTACAGGATTAAAAAATACTGCAACAGACCCTCTAATGTACTAATGTACAGTATTTACCCTGCATTGGCTGCAGTACCACTCTGTTCAGTTCAACAATGTTTCACGTTAAAGCACTGATCTCCGGTCAGTTTCTGAAGATGGATGAAATCCATCCAGAACCGGACAATAACAGGAACTGTTTACTGGACTAATCACAGGGATCATGGTTCAGCTATGGGAATGTATTAACAATTACCTTATCTACCCTGCCACACACACACACACAGACACACACACACACATGCACACATGCACACACAGGGCATTCCCGCAACATTAAATCATAGCTGCTTTGTTTTTGGTGAGAAACCACAGCGAGGGTCTGACAGACATGAGCTCTGAGTGCATTTTATCTCTCAGCTGGTTGTTATAGAAAACAGTGACCCACATGGAGTGGTATGTGTTAGAGAGAGCACAACAGCTCATGGTAAAGGTGTTTGAACAAAACACCGCCTGGATTAGAAAGTCTGCTCTCATATCTGCTTCATAAACACATTACACACATTACAAAAATATACACGCTGTCACTCTCAAAGTACACAGGGACGAGTATTTCTGCTTACAGCAGACAGGATTAATGGGCCTTAGAACAGGGGTTATTGGAGAGTTTTTAGTTTGTTTTTTCTGTCAGTTTTTCTGGTTTTTTTTTTGTTTGTTTAAAAAGTGACTGAGACAGCAGTGATGTCACTGACACAGCAGTGATGTCACTGACACAGCAGTGATGTCACTGACACAGCAGTGATGTCACTGACACAGCAGTGATATTGCTGTATCGGCTTCCTCTGTCCTCTCCTCAGATCAAAGGTCAAATCTCTACAGTTTTATTGACTAAAACCTGATGAACCAGCTGTTGATCACAGACTACAGTCTGATCACAGGTTCTTCTCACACCTGGAGGGAGTGAATTACACCCTGTTGAAGCTCAGCTTCAATGGGAATGAATGGGACAAACTGAATGGACATTTAAACTGTGAGAGCTAGACTTTGATTGGATAGATAAATAAAACAAGTGTCCTGCTTCAGGTGTACCACACCTGTGTGCTCCTGGAGTTGATTCTGACCTGTTCCGTGTCTGACCGTCTGTCCTGAAGACCTGAGATCTTCATCCTGATATTTGGTTTTGTAGTTCTTCAGTACCATAGTAAAATTAGGCAAATGTTTTTTACAAACTGACCTTTAGGGGCAGTGATGTGGACGGTGTACTGTCCCTTCTGAGTGTGGAAACTCCTGACACTGGTTTTCACTGATGATGATGATGAAGAAGATGATGAATTGGAGTTTGGAAGTATGCTGTGTAGTTTCTTCCTCTCCTTCTCGATGTGCTTCAGCAGCAGAGCAGCCATCCTGTCTCCTCGTCCTCTCTGGGACAGGGTCTTTCTCAGCAGAACTGCCTGGGCCTCCCTCAGACTGTTACACAAAATATACAAAATACACAGTCAGTCAGTGTATGACACACACATAACAGCTGTACTTAATATACAATGACTATGTTGAGGCAGCACTCACTGCTGACTTTTTGGGGTTTTTTTTTTGCATCCTTGAGATTTTGATACTGAAAGTGTAAAAGGTACCAATATACTTTGAGTACGTGACCTGCAGTACAGTACAGAAGAAATACTTTGTTGCAACTACTTTAGCCTGAATCTTGAGATGAGGTCATCATCATTTCATTTTAATATTAATATAACTGTGTTCGCGACCTCTAGAGGTCACCAGAGATACAGAGCTACAACACTGCGGAAAGAAGAGCTTTTATTTTGAAAAATCAGTGAAATGATCATTAAAAACCTTGATTTCACTTTAAAAATTCCATCTTAGTGAAGCAGATATTCCTGCACCAGATATATTATATTTAATTATCAGGGTTTATAGAAAGAAAAGTTCACTGTAGGCCAAAGTAAATAGAACTCTCCGTGTCTACTGTTGGACTTGAATGAACCTATAACTATCAACCTAGTGTAGATCACATTGTTTGCTTTATAACTGATTATATTTATGAGGGTAAAAATATACAAACCAAGCTTCCTGGGTGGTGTGTGTGTGAGAGGATGGGGATGTTGTAACTGTGGGAGGATGTGAGGACAACTGTGTTTTTTCTTTGTGCGAGCAGGATTTAATATGTCCTTAATGAGAGATTTGATGAGAAACAGGCATCCGGAACAGTAAGCACACAAATCTACAACCACTGATAACAAACACACACACACAGTCAGAGACGCCCTGCAGTCTGTGTGGCTCTGCTCAAAATGTCCCAACTGCTCATTTCTTCACTAAACTTTGGACCAGATATCAAACATCACAGAGCAGATGAACTAATGACCAGATGGTATGATGTGTATGCAGTATATTTATACTCTATTATTATTATTGTTGTTATTATTAATGTTATTCTCAAGGTCACAGGAGACCACGGCACTCATCAGTTAAAGGCAGGGACAATCAACACACACTCACACTCACAGCATTGGTCGTTCTGGTCAGAGTGAACAACCTCTTCTCCAACCCCTCACCCCCTCACACACACAGACACAGAGAGCAGGAGAACTCCATAGAGACCAGCAGGTCGGGGATCGAATCACTGACCTTCTTGCTGTCACCGTGTTGACCTTACAAGTCAGCCTACGTGTGAATAAAAACTATATTTTCTAGAATGCCTGCCAAATCTCCGTCCCTGTGCCCTGTGTCCTGTCTTCCCACCATCCACCATGACCCTGCCTCTGACCTTTCGACCTGTAGCACCTTTGACCTCAGGGTTCAAGGATTGGATGGAGATGGAGTGTTAACTCTGAGCAGACTGACACAGCTCAGAGTCCAGTTAGACCAGGAGAAAAATAAGAAAAGTTCTTAAAGCAGCAACACAGTGACCTGTGACATTAGGAGATGTGGAAAACCTCACACCCATGTTGAGGAGGTGCAGCAGGTTTCTGTGCCATGGGTGGAGGCATCTCCACCTTTGTCAAGAAGATTAGAAATAAAGCAGATCATGGAATCTTCTTGATCTTGTGACTTACTTTAGTTGAATAATTAGATAAACACATAATAAATAATGGGTGCTCTGGACTGTCTGTCAGGACTCACAGACCAAATAACACGCCATCGCCATCTAGTGTCTCAGAGTAGAACTGCACGGCATAATTCTCAGTAGGTGAAGAGGAGCTCAACTGCAGTCTCTAGGAATTTTCCATTACCGCAAAACAGTGCTCAACATTATTAAAAAATATTTTGTAAATCCGCCTTAAAAACTTCAGCTTGGACCAATCTCTTATTAAAGCCTTCAGATAAATACATAAAACAATGTTTCTAAATCAGAGATCACAGGTTGAGGTCAGGTGAGGTGGTTGGGCTGCACTGTAATAAAACATGTCATGACTTCCTGACCAGTGCATCAGGCCAAAGAGACCAATGTTTCTTTGTTGCAGTGGTGGTTAAAAGTAAGGCTTATTTCAACCCCTGTTATTTAAATAAAACGCTTCTCTTTGTTCTTCTACACTAAACACTGCCCCCTGCCTGCTCCATTGACTCCAGGTGAAGATGAGCAGTGGAAAAACCCTCCCCAGTACAGCCCCATTGAAGCTGAGCTTCATAAACTCCACGGCTACAGTAAGGTATGAGAATGAGATGAGATCAGACTGTGGTCTGTGACTAACAGGAAGGTTCTTACCTCAGCTGCTGCTTCTTCGCTCTTTTGGTTCCTTGGTCCTTTGTTTTCGTCCTCTCAGTCCTTACTCTTATCTCCTTCTCCTCTTCAGGCTGAGACTCAGGATCCAAACTTTTTTGATCAACATGAAACTTTTTACTTCCTCTAACTGTTAATGTGAGGTCCGTTTTAAAATGCTCATGTTCAGATTCAGACCCACCATAGTGTTCAGTCTTGACCTCAGGACTAACATCAGAGTCTGAGTCTGGATCCAATCTCTCCATAGAGTCAGACTGAGGGATTATACCTTCTCCTCCTGACTTTAAATCTTCTGAACCTTCAGACCCTGAAGGATTCTGGTTTTCAGTTGGACTGTTCTTTGTCTCAGACCCTGGGCTTCTATCAGTGACCTCTGTGTCCTTCTTTTTGTCTCCACCCTCTACTTCCCAGGGCTGAAGGTCAATAAACTCAGAGTTAGACTCAGGCCGGTGACCTGTGACCTTTATCTTGACCTCATCGTCTGTCAGGTCCATTCTTCTCTGTTCATTTACCAAAAACACATTAGTCTGAAGTCCATTGTTTACTGACTGATCAGGACCAAAGTTTGGGCTGGAAGTCTCAGGTGAAGGACTCAGTGAGGTGGAGACTGTGGTGAGGGTGGGCGGAGTCACGCTGCTCTGAGTCAGTTTGGTTATGCTCTGCAGGGAGGAGCTCAGGTTTGGAGGAGCCTGGTGTTGGTGGGCTGTGATGGTTGGAGGAATGAAGGTCAGCGGTTGTCCTGGCAGAGACACGGTCACTGTGGAAAACTCACAGCGGTATCCATGGAAACCTCGGCGACAAACACAGCGATTCCCCCAACGACAGAGGCCACCATTATGGCAGCCAGGAAAACACCTGGCTGTAGGAGGATACGGAAGGTGCGGGGACGGGGGAACGGGGAAAGGGAGGAAGGTGTGAGAAAAACAAGGGAGAGAATTTAGAAATATTACATTTCAAAAAATACGGTCCAAGACCATTCCTTCTCTGTAGACTTCTGGAGCATGTCCTTTGACACTCGATTTCAAGACTGAACTCTACTCTACTCTACTAACTCTACTACAATGTTCTTTCAGAAAAATAAAAATAAAAACTCGGATGGTTTTAGATCACCATTCAAGTTTGGTTAAAAATGTCAAGTTTGGTTTGATTTGATAATGCTTTGTTTCTGACTTTGAAGAAAAATCCCTTCACTAGGGGTCGTTACAGCATCAGTAGTCGGCATGTCCATTTGTCAGAATATTTCCTTTGGATGCCTGTTCTGACGCAATCCAACCTCAGAAAAACCAAAATCAGGAAAAAAAACATAATTAAATAATTTCCAAAAACAATTTATTTACTGTACAAAATACATGATTTCATGGTCCTGTACTGCAGTACATCATGAATGAATCTTATCTGTCCAACACACCCATCAAAGTCAGAGCTAATGCTGATCTAGTCTAATCCATAATCAATCAGTTCAATTCAAATTTTAAATAATTAATGAGACATTTAAGTCATTATTTAATAAACTATTAATGTATTTAATGGTGTAACTTTCAGTCGTCCAGGAACAAACCTGCCTTATCCATTTTTATCTAATACTAAGATGTCCAAATAATGTTGTTTTAATTCACAGACTTGCACCTTCCCTGACCCCCTAAAGGTCCACGACTTCATATTGAAGACCCATCTTAGACATGAACACTTAAGCAGCTGAAATGTAAGTATTTAGTCTTCTACACTTTTTCACTTCTGTTTTTTTTATTTTGTGTGTGTGTGTGTGTGTGTGTTTGTACAGAGTTTTATTTTTTACCAGGACAATGTGACCAAACAGTGAAGCTTTACTCTGCAGGAGCTCAAACCAATGGGACTTATTTTGTGTGTGTGCATGTGCACGTGTGCATGCATGAGGGTAAATCTGTTTCCATTCACGAGTTCCCGCAGCACATTCACAGCCCTTTAATCCTGAACTGAATGAACCACTGAGTGTGAGAAGCTCCGCCTCCTCAAACTACATTTATACGCAAATTCACACATTTACACAGAGTTCAATACATGTCTGAAAAAGTCAGTGGCTTCTGAAACGTTTTTGTTCTTAAATTCTCTCTTTGTGCAGCTCTGGTAAAATCAGTTACACTTTAACACATTTAAATAAAATACCAACTTATAAGACCCTGATCTGGAATTTTGTTGGAGTCAACAACGTCTGAAGATAAACAGTTTTTTGAACATTAAACCAAAGTTTGTAATTCCCATATCAGGCTGTTGGGTTGGTTTGCCTCCTTTACTGCAGGCAGGTAGAAAATAGTAAATTTCTGACTAAAATTAAGTTTCTTTATATTATGATGTGTGAAGTCCAACGGGCATCGAGGCAACAGGTCTGCACCAGATTTCAGTGAGTGGTGTCTGATACAGGTCAGATTGACAGGAAGTCCCTGAAGATGCACCGAAGAAGTCGTAAATCCTGCTCTGCATGTGGATTCTGACGTCCTCCATCAGTTCACACTTTGAACTGATGGGTGATGTATCATCAACCTGCTGATGTATATGAAGCCTGCAGTGCATATTCCACATTACACACTCAACACATTCAATATGAAATCTATGGGATCAAAATGGAGAGGATTTAAACAAAGTGGTCTTAACAAAGACCACCTGAGTCTCCAAGGCCAAAGGTAATCTGACACTTGCCAGACTGCATATGGATGTGGGACACTTCTGGCAATGGTGTAAACCTGCTGGCTTTCATTGGGCCAGGACATAATGAAAAAGTGGCCCACATGTGATGTGGTCCAATTATTGTAGACTATAATACTGTAGGTAAACTTCAGTTATTAGTACACACAGGAGAGTTTGCCTCATGAGGGCTTGAAGAAGACCTGAAGAAGATACACCTGATTATGATGAAACGTCTGAGCCGCTGTTCCTGCAGCGACTCAAACAGCAATTCAACTGAGAAGTAGGTGGATGAATATTTGTAAAAATTACAGACCAACCAGTGGAAGATACTTTAAGTTCAATTCCGTTCCTTGGCCAGCAGAACAAGGCTGGTAAAACGGACTTGGTCCATTGTTTTGCAGGCGTATATAAAAAGGGAGATGCTCTACATCAGGGGTCCCCCAACCACATCACCTTTTTTCTTTAACTAACATTAGTCTGAAAGATGGAATGATGACATTAACACCATAATGCAGCACCACCGAGGAACTCTACCTTTTCAGAATACCAGACCAGAGTGGTGCATGGACTGGGTCCAGAAGTCTCTGTGCTCCACATGTTTCCTGACAACCAGCAGCAGTTTTGGTTTCATGTCTGCAGCTGCTTTTCCCTGTTTTACTACATGAAAACTGCAGCCGAACAAAGACGAATCATATGAACAAGCCTTTGCATAAATCCATATGCCGACCTCTTCATGAAGTCGGTTTTCAGGAGCCGAGATCTAAAGGATTTATATTAAACAAATGTCGGAACACTTTTTCTGACCAACCACACAATCTCCGACAAACTCAACCCCAACCAGCACCACCTGACTCCACCGTGCAGTGACAGTAGAGGACAACAGAGGGTGACCAATGACAATACTCACGCTTGGTGCATTTTTTAGGTTTTGTTGACGACGACGCAGTCCATCTGGCACAACACTGTTCTCCACAGACCTGAGGGCTACGAAGAAAAAGAAGAAGAAGAAGAGTTTTTAGAACGAAGAAAATAACCACAAAGGAGGCATTAGAAAGTATTCATCGTTAATTTCCTCATAGAAATGAGAAACTTTAATACCATTTTATACCACCACCAGTCTGACCAACAATAATCCATTCACCCAAAGACCAAACATAGTACACATACCATGGTTTGAGAACCACTGCGGTATATCAATAAGCTGTTGTTTTAAAACGGTGGATGATGTCATGTCATGGTGCTGGTCTGGTCAACTCATGTGTCCCACCAGTAAACTGATCTGTCCCTGCGTTTGGGTTCTCCATGTGGGAACTGAATTAATTAGCAAATCAACACTAGGTCTGACCACACACACACTCCAGCCCCCCAACACACACACACATGCACACACAAACATACACCAGCATCAAAGCAGGTTACCTTCACAGCTCTGTGTAACTGGTGTGCAATGTGTGTGTGTGTTACACAATCTAATGTCCAACTTCCTGTTGACTTATTAGGACATGTTTTCAACAGGATCATACTGTCTGTTGGCTAATCCAGACTAATCCAGACTAATCCAGACGTGGTTTCATTGACACGAGCTGACATTTGATCGGTGTAACAAATAAACAAACAAGTCATGTGTTATCTACGGGGACACTGACGTCTGGACTGTGAGGTGATTTAAAAGTGGAATCTTAATGTGAATACAGATGTACTGCAAAGGATTTAATCATTACTCACAGTGATATACTAATACTGAGAGTATTATAAATGCAAGGGAGGCCCCACTAATGAACACACACTCACACACACACACACACTGTCACAGTGAGACCCTACAGTTTAAAGATGTTAACACTCTTGTACAGACAGACAGAATGGAATATTAGAAAAGGGACGAGGGTGTTGTTGTTTTTATTCCAGATTTCAATGATCTGAAGTGTCTAGTTCACAGACCCTCTTTTATCCTCACAGCTGCTCTGGTTCAAAGTCCCAGTGTAGGACATCAAAGTGTCACTTATTCTTTACCTCCACTCAAAAACTCTATTTTTCTATTCTACTTCCAAAGGACACTAAGCATCTGTTCACGTTGATCCTGCCTCTGTCTGCATCTACACCAATCAGAGACGAGAACACAAAGACCTCTCCTCCAGACTGAAGAAGCAGGGGCAGATGCTGAGGTGAGCAGTGTCTTCTTGTCAGAGAGAAAGGAGGGGCAGTGTAAAAGAGGATCAGAGGAGGAAGGAGGTGGAGACCAAAGAGACAGCAGCATTACTGAGAGTATTACTGTATACAATAGTATTATTACTACTACATCTCATAATAAAAATGGTATTCATTATTACCAGTGTACTACTGTGCATCTCATTGCTCTCAAATTTTAAATTCATAAACTAATTGTTCCTCAGACACTGAAAACCTGTGTCTGTGTGAACGTATACAGAAGAGCTCTCCACTTTTCACACACTCCTACAAACATGCCTGTTTTAAAACCTCTTTGAGCTTGCTGTGTACACACTGCACGCACGTCCACACACACTCAGATACATAACACAACGGCAGTCCAGATTTTTGCATCTAATTCTAAACTCTGTGACCCTCTCTCTCTCCCTCTCTCTCTCCCTCTCTCTCTCTCCCTCTCTTTCTCTATCTGTGCATGTGTATGTATGTGACTGTTGACTTTGCATCCATCACTTGACCAGTCGGACTTGCACTTGAAAGTGGACCTCAAACACATGCACACACACATACACACACACACACGGAATTTCACACATTCCTGAGGTGTCTGCAGTCCAGCACACCTGCCACATGCTGATTGGTCCATTGTTTTATGACCACACACTGCATCAATTCCAGGTACAGAGCATCCAGACCTGGAGTTCAATCCCTGACTGTGGCCTTCACGTCTCTCCCTCACTGACATCACGCTGACAGGGCGCAACCCTGGATTCGATCTCATGTTCATTTATCCCCTGCTGCAGCAACTGGACTAAATCTGATATGTTCTCACCTTTTCAATTATATTAGCGTGTAGACCTAGTCATATCTCCCTAGCTAACAAATGCACATGTACATTTCAAAGACCTGGAATCGACCCCACAACCCTCCAACTGAAAGTGTACTGCACTACCTACTCCTCCACAGCCTTCAATCTCAAAAAGTGATATTTTCTAATTGTTCTTTTATTCTTTGTTCGTTTGTTTAAGATATTGTGCAACGAAAGTTAATCAGATTTATATTTAAATGCATAAAACTGTTTTAGTCCATATTAAAAATCAAATTCTTTATGAGATCCTGACCCGCTCAGAGATTCTCTCCTGCGGCCTCCCTGCAGTTTCTCCCCGGCTCTGCTCTCCTCCAGCCCAGGCTCTGGTGGAGCAGGAGCGGCTATGGCTGTTTTTCTGCCGGATCTCTGCTGTGTCCGAACGGGCTGGAGGTCCTGTCGGTGACCGGGCGGCACGGCTCCCCCCTCCGGCTTAGCAGGGGTTCCTTCGGGGGG